CTATGCACGATTAAGATTGATATAAAACAGCCGATAAAACATAACTCATCGTTTAAAGTGCAGATTAGATCAAACTTAGATTAACAAACGATGGGTTAAACAAGATATAAGGCCGATCTAGATCAATCCCAATCGGGCGAAGTGATATTGCTGTAATTGAATAAATAATGGAAGCGATAAGCAATATCGGTAACTTAATGAATCTATCCGAAGGAACACCACCCTTAGATAGAGCTGATAACTTGATCTTAATCTAGTTCGAGCAGTGGCGGTCGACCGGATTGATGCAGCCGTACTTGAACTAGACAAGAGTCGCTAACTAACTTATACCAGAGTCGCAGTGGAGGTCGACCGGATCAATGCAGCCGTACGAATAGAGGTATAAGCCATGACGGTACTTACAGACAAGCAGTGGAGGTCGACCGGATCGATGCAATCGTACTTGCTGAAGAACTCACCGAGATCTACTCTACTCCTACTCCTAAGGGGTGGCCGGAGTCGAAAAAAGTAAGTAACTTGTATTTGGTTGATTATGTGTCTTTTACAATAGCCGGGGTGTGATATTTATACCCGGAGCCTGAAAACGAATCCTACTCGAGTACGACTCAGTACAATCTTTGGTACGAAGAAAACATTCCTATTTTAAGATAACTTGGACTCTAATCTTTCTCCTTTTGTAGAGTCCGATATGTATCTTCTCGATACCAATCATATCTCATCATCGTTATCTGCTGACGTCATTTAAAGAGAACCGATCCCAGTGTCGCATCCGAAGCGGCAGATATCAATCTTTACGCAATCGACTCCTTGATTGGCGCAATCTTGGAAGCATGCGAGTTCCCGCGCTCTTCTCCCAAATTTTGGTGTAAACAGCTGCTGCACCTACCGAGCTATGGTAGCCCTCAAGTCCAAGTGCTCTACTAGCGGTGGGCCTCGTGGTCTGAGAGGTGACCGAGAACCACGCCTCTTCCTCTCTGACTTAGGTGTCACTTGAGCACGAGCACGACCTGAGCATCGTAGTGGCTGCTCCTGCTACTGCTCTGCCTGTGGCTACCCAGTCTCTCCCTGGGTGGTATCCTCAATAGGATCAGTAAGAGAGACACGTGAACCACCAAGCATGATAGTTCCACGTGGACTACCACTCGCTGTCTAATACCTCTCCACTCCACTCCTCTGAGCTGCTGTCAGGTGATCTCCAATACGGACAACAACACCTCTGTCAGTACACTCAGCTGCGGCTGCTATTGCTACGGCCCTCTCTGCCTCTACATCACCATGCTTGCGCTTTTTCTTTGTCATTACCTTCTTTGGCCCCTTAGTCCTTCTCTTTTGCTGTAAGGCGGACGCCTCTCATCGTCATCGGGAGCACCAAAGTCGTTCTTGCATCGAACCATGGCTGACACAGCAAAGAAACCAACTGACGAGCAAAGAACCACTGTCACTACTTTTCCTCCTCAACTGAACGTGGTCCTGGGAAGATGATGTCACGGTAGGGTGCCTCTTTGCCACAACGCTTGCTTCAACCAATGCCTTCGCCTTTGGACAGTTGAGGAGATCTTACAGCCTGCGAAGCTATCAATCCCAGTGATGTGGACTACTGGCTCGGACGTGGCCTCTGGGGCAGCTCGGGAGCGTGGTGCATTGGGCACGTCCTGAACCACTAATAATCTAGCATCACATGCTACTCTTCTTTTGCAGTACTCATGTCACAAGTGCTTCAGGTTTACAGTTTTGTTGAAGCCTTGGTCTCTTTCCTTTTCCTAGCATGGTCTTGTTTTTGGCGACAGTGCATTCTTTAGTAGTGGTTTTAATCTTATGTCAGAGCAAGTGTCTATTACCTCTACAAGCCGCTATGACGTCATACAAAGCCTCTATTCGAGCTGATTTAAGCAAATGTGGAGGTTGAGGCTACTAGTCATATTGAAGTGTTGGGTGTGTTTGGCTCACAGCCACCACACCCAGCCACGTCCAACAGTGACGACGCCTAAGGTACGTCGTCAGAATTCTACGCCACAACTGTGGCAGAAATTTGCACCGTAAAAGCATGTGACTGCCGCTGTTTACGAGTGAACCAAACAGCAGCTGTGCATTGTGTGGCGTGCGGCAGGTTAGTCTTGGCCTTAGGGCCACAACCACAACACTCAGTGTTGTTAGTTGCAACGTGTGTTCACCAGTAATCACACGTCCTCTGTGTGCAGCTAATTTGTCTCTACAAACTGCAATCTTGTGGTCCGTCCGTCAAGCTGAGCCTTCCGAAACTGTCGCTTGCTCTCTCCTTCGTTCCCGCAGAAAATTGAGGTCCTGTGACCTGTGATAGTTCAGGATCAGGACGCCAGATCGACGTGGGGCGGATATGTGGTAATTACTATACTATTATAATTAGTCCACACATGTTCGTTATGGATTATTTAATGTTGACTGGTTTGGTGTGAGAGAAAAATATTATTCCAACTTATAATCCACGATCGTATACAAGTAAACGAACAGACTGAATGTTTGCGTTGCAGGTTTGGAACAATCCTCTAAATAATCAATAATGTGAGCAGTTTTGTAGCAATCCTTGAATAATCAATAATGCGAGGCCAACTGCACTTGACGCAACATCTTCTGATAAAAAAGAGAACGAGGATGACATCTTTCACACGGTACTCGTATCTTTCAAAAATTATTGTAGGTTTCAGTGGCGTCGTTTTTTTAAGTGCCACGTAGATAAGGGGTAAGAACAACTCCAACAGAATCTCTATATCTCTTCTAATAGATGGGAATAGAGATTTTAATAAAAAAAATACCCTCTAACATCTTGTCTAATTGATTATTTAAATATAGTCATTCTTTATTTCGGGTTTCTCGCTAGCCAAAAATAGATAGCGAGAATAGCTCTCTAAAGTGTGCATAGGATATAGAAAAGCTATTAGAGAGTGTGAAAAAATATAGAAAATATTTTTTTATGCAAATAACTCTCCAAATAATAATTTAGACAAGGGCCTGTTCGATTCTCTTATAATCCGCCTTTTTTCAAATTTTTTTTTTTTTTCTAGCCGAATGATTTTTCTCTCATGAAGAAATCAAAGGAACCATGTTTTGATTGTTTTTTCAAAGAAACGAACAGGGCAATGAGTTTTAGAAAGACTTCCGGAGATACTCTAAGTATACGCTGAGATGCCTATAGTGACTTTGTTAAATTCAAAATCTGTCAGTTCAGTTTGAATTCAAACGTGCTAAAAAATAGAAAGAAAAAGAAAATATGTAGTTCAAAAAATCTAATAAAAAAAAGGAAGGAAAGGAAAACAGTGTGCGGCTAATTCCGGGGGTGGCAGCCGCAGCGCCAGCCATGTGGCGGCGAACCTGACCTGACGGATCCAATCCATGGGCCATCATGGCCCCTTGTTAACTGACGCAACCCAACCTGGATGATGATCTGAACTGGATAAGCACGGGCTTCGCGAAGCGACGGTCAAATGTTTACTCGTTGTATATGTTTCGCACATTTTCTGGAACCCACTTCTATATCCATCTATCTGCAACGACGTCCCTGCTAGATGATGATCTGATCGGAATGCAACACGTGAAAAAGGGCTAGCGTCGTTTAGGTCCGCCTCGAGTTTACAATTTTGATTATAGTGGGAGATATAGGCCAGTTCGGCTGGTGCAAAAATCAGCCGGAATTTCACTGTTTATGGCTGAAAGTTACTGTTTATGGTGGATTTTCTCTCACAAATTTCTCCAAACGAATGGAGCCATAATAAAAAGTTGTTGGAAGGGATTTGTCAGTAAAATCTCTATTCCTATATTAATAAGAAAAATATAAAGAGGCTCTCAGAATTGCTCAGGTAAGAGTAACTCCAAAAGACTCCGTGTATTCTTTATAATTGTTAGCAATAGAGATTCCGGTGAAAAAACATCCTTCAACAGCTTCTTTAATTAGATATCTAAACATAGCCATTCTCTATTCCAAATTTCTCTTTAGCTAAAGATAAAGAGAGAGAATAACTCTCTAGAGTACGCACACGATATAAAAAAGTTGTCAAAGAGTGAAAATATAGAAAATGTTTTTTATTCAAATGACTCTGAAATAATAGTTTAGAGAGTGAGTTTTAGAAATACTCTCGGAGATGTTCTGAGCGATGTTCCTGTTATGTGTACTTTCAAAAATCATAAAGTCTGTCGACCATTTTGTTTCTCTCTCGTGCTCTTTTTTATGAGCACTATATACAGAGCAATATACTTTTCAAGGTTTAACTAAGTTCATAAAAGAAGAGTATTAATACTTATAACACATAATGGATATACTATAAAAACATATCTTATTATAAATTTAATAATAGTTAGAGCATTTGTTATCATAAATAATGATACCTTTCGTGTAGATTTAATCAAGTTTAAAATCATCTAAAAAAATCAAGTTTAAAATAGTTCGACTCAGTACAATACTTGAATTGCATTTTTTTCTGATAGAGGGAGTACTTGTTACATTTGACTTTGCACGGTCTTGTATGCATGCCTTTTGATCACTGGTATCTCCTACAGTATACTGTTAAATCGATTAGTTTATAAGATTTGTAAGTATTTTGACTACAAATAAACCAATATATCTTGTATGTGTCCAAATTAGAATATTAATTAACAGCTATTGATGTTTGTAGTTTAAGATTTTTGTCGACCAAAAAAAATGCATGTTTTCGTGACCGGGGGTGCATCACATCACATCACATAATAAATAAATGATTTTAGCGGGGTCAAAGTGCAAAGGGCTGTCTTCCCTTTTTAGAAGGAGTGGAGTGGCACCGTACTGGAAGGCGTGCGGCACGCCGTGTTTCTGCTCCGGTAGCTCCAGAGAACTCATAACCAGATCTCAACCACAGTCCAGGCCTGCTCCTTCGCTGGACACTGAACCATCAAGGCGGAGCGTCCTTGCAGCAAAACTTCCCGATACCTCGAGCAAAAATCTGGTCTGGTTTGGCTCAAATTCGCCTTTCTTTTGGGGGCGGTTCTTAGGGGCCATGTCGCAGCACGACGACGACCTTGCTGGAGTTCATCCGGAAGAAGGAGACCCCCACGGCGTTCGAATGGATGACTCCGACTACGAGGACGATGAGTTGGACCAATCTGTAAGCGTACCCGCCCGCTGCTCTGTTCTTTGTTCTTGAGAGTCGAGACATGATTTTGCTCTGAAATGCTCCTGCTTTGTTTTTTTTAGCCCGGTTTTTTATTTCTTTGTTCAAACTCAATCTCCTAGTGATGCCGAGCCCATACCTTGATTTTACATAAATTATAGGAGTATATGTGAGGCTTGTTCTGAACTGATGATAAATGCTTATCTAGTTCAATGCAGAGTTTTACTTTTTTTTTAACTAACAGAGTTTTATTTTAATTGCGACCTTTTTTTTTTGTTTGTTTAATTTAGTCTCTATCGTTGCTGTCACTAGCTTTTGAGGATGCAGGTAGAAAATTTTGCTATGGTCTAACACAAAAGGCAAATTTGTGTTTGTAGACTAGTAAAGCGACTGAACATATCACGGCTATGGATGTGAAGAAGGGGATGGATATACAAGGGATCCCCTGGGACATGATGGCGACTACAAGAGACAAGTACAGGCAGTCGAGGTTGCAGCGGTATGCCAACTTTGAGAACGTACCTAATTCCGGAAGGACTTCAGAGAAGGCATGACATAGCTACACATTTCAGATTAATTACCTGGTTGAGTTGAGTACCTCTTTAGGCCGAGTAAAATTTTGTGTGGCAATACTGGTGCAGGAATGCATGCCTGCAGAGAAAGGCCAACTCTACTATGAGTTTCAGCACAACACGAGGTCGGTGAAATCGACCATCCTTCATTTCCAGGTGAGCCATGGTTTCGAGTGTCTCTTGTTCCAAATGTTAGTTTAAGAAGATTGTTAGATGTCATAATTGAGACAGTTTAACTGCTCTCTTTTTTTTGTTTCTTTCCTGAAGGATTGTCAATCACGTGTTGAAGTTGAATTATTCTAGAAGATTGTTAATTGCTTGGCATGCTTCTCATGTCTGACTAGAAAGAGGAGGCTACTTATCTTGACTAACTAGTAAAGTAAAACACTCTTTAAGTAATACCACCAAGAGTTTAGCCTTTTCTGATTCCCCTCGACATTTGCGTAGCCGGACAGCGGCAACTCAGTTAAATTGCAATTGTGGTATCCTAACACAGGAATAGACATTCACAATGAACTATTCTCAAAAATGAATTAACATTTCTATTTCATAATTTTGGGAGCCATCTGCTCTATTTTTAAGCGTACAATGTAGGGCCTTGTAGCTCTGTATGTATGTTATACCGAACAGTCAGATGCTCTGATGGTATTAATTGCTTTCTCAGGTCCTGCAAATTTGTTAAGCTCGTTCCAACCCTGTTTTGCAGTTGAGAAATTTAGTATGGGCAACGACAAGGCACGATGTGTATCTTATGTCAAACTTTTCTGTGCTTCATTGGTCAGCACTGACTTGTAAAAAGCAAGAAGTCATTGATCTTCAAGGACATGTCACACCATGTGAGGTACATATCACTTTCCAAATGTTCAACAACAACAACAAAGTCTTTAAGTCCCAAACAAGTTCGGGTAGGCTAGAGTTGAAACCCAGCAGAAGCAATCAAGGTTCAGGCACGTGAATAGCTATCTTCCAAGCACTCCTATCTAAAGCTAAGTCTTTGGATATATTTCATCATTTCAAGTCTCATTTTATTGCCTCTACCCAAGTTAACTTCGGTCTTCCTCTGCCTCTCTTCACGTTACTATCCTGGCTTAGTATTCCACTACGCACCGGTGCCTCTAGAGGTCTTCGTTGGACATGTCCAAACCATCTCAACCGGTGTTGGACAAACCTTTCTTCAATTGGTGCTACCCCTAATCTATCACGTATATCATCGTTCCGAACTCGATCCCTTCTTGTATGACCGCAAATCCAACGCAACATATACATTTCCGCGACACTTATCTGTTGAACATGTCGTCTTTTCGTAGGCCAACATTCTGCACCATACAACATAGCAGATCTAATCGCCGTCCTATAAAACTTGCCTTTTAGCTTCTGTGGTACCTTTTTGTCACATAGGACACCAAATGTTTGGCGCCACTTCATCCACCTTGCTTTGATTCTATGGCTAACATCTTCATCAATATCCCCGTCTCTCTGTAGCATTGATCCTAAATATCGAAAGGTATCCTTCTTAGGCACTACTTGACCTTCCAAACTAATATCTTCCTCCTCCCGAGTAGTAGTGTCGAAGTCACATCTCATATACTCAGTTTTAGTTCTACTGAGTCTAAAACCTTTGGACTCTAAAGTCTCCCGCCATAACTCCAGTTTCTGATTCACTCATGTCCGGCTTTCATCAACTATCACTACATTGTCCGCGAAAAGCATACACCAAGGGATGTCCCCTTATATGTCCCTTATGACTTCATCTATCACTAAGGCAAACAAATAAGGGCTCAAAGCTGACCCTTGATGTAGTCCTATCCTAATCGGGACGTCATCCGTGTCTCCATCACTTGTTCGAACTCTAGTCACAACATTGTTGTATATGTCCTTAATGAGCCCGATGTACTTCGTTGGGACTTTATGTTTGTCCAAAACCCACCACATAACATTCCTTGGTATTTTATCATAAGCCTTCTTCAAGTCAATAAAAACCATGTGTATGTCCTTCTTCTTCTCCCTATACCGCTCCATAACTTGTCTTATTAAGAAAATGGCTTCCATGGTTGACCTTCCGGTCATGACACCAAATTGGTTCATAGAGACCCGCGTTATTGCTCTCAAGTGATGCTCGATAACTCTCTCCCATAGCTTCATAGTATGGCTCATCAACTTAATTTCCCGGTAATTAGTACAACTTTGAATATCCCCTTTATTCTTGTAGATCGGTACCAATATACTTCTTCTCCACTCATCAGGTATCTTGTTTGATCGAAAAATATGGTTGAACAACTTGGTTAGCCATACTATAGCTATGTCTCCGATGCATCTCCACACCTCGATTGGGATACCATCCGGTCCTATCGCCTTACCTCTTTTCATCATTTTCAACGTCTCTCTGACCTCAGATTCTTGGATTCTCTGCACAAAGCGTCTATTGGTGTCATCAAAAGAGTCATCCAACTGAAATGTTGTGTCCATATTCTCACCATTGAACAATTTGTCAAAATACTCTTGTCATCGATGTCGGATCTCATCGTCCTTCACCAAGAGATGCTCCATTTCATTCTTAATGCACTTAACTTGGTTGGAGTCCCTTGTCTTTCTCTCATGAACCCTAGCCATCCTATAAATGTCCTTCTCTCCTTCCTTCGTACTCAAATGTTGGTAAAGATCTCGTACGCTCTACCCTTTGCCAGCTCGCTTTGCAGTCTTCTTTGTCACCTTGTACTTCTCTATGTTGTCCACACACCTGTCATGGTACAAGCGTCTATAGCATTCTTTCTTCTCCTTAATAGTCCTTTGGACTTCTTCGTTCCACCATCAAGTATCTTTAGCCTCGCCTCCACTTCCTTTGGTTACTCTACACACCTCTGAGGCCACCTTCCGAATGTTGGTTGCCATCTTCTCCCACATGTTGTTTATGTCCTCTTCTTCCTTCCAAGAGCCCTCTTTAATAACAATTTCCCTGAATACCTCTGACGTCTTCTCTTTTAGTTTCCACCACTTTGTTCTTTCAATCTTAGCTTGTTTATCCCTACGGGCATGCACCTGAAAATGAAAGTTTGCCACCAAAAGCTTATGTTGAGAAACAACACACTCCCCTAGTATCACCTTGCAACCCAAGCATGCTCGTTTATCCTTTCTTCTTGCGAGGACAAAGTCAATCTAGCTAAAGTGTTGTCCGCTACTTAAGGTCACTAGATGAGATTCTCTCTTTCTAAAGAAAGTGTTGGCTATCATCAGGTCAAAAGCTACCGCGAAGTCCAGAACTTCCTCCCCCTCCTGATTCCTACTAACATACCCAAAACCTCCATAAATTGCCTCGAAACATGCGCTTGTAGTACCTACATATCCATTAAGATCTCCTCCTATAAAAAGCTTCTCACTATTAGGTACAGCTCTAATCAGGCCATCTAAGTCTTCCAGAACTGTCTCTTAGCACTCTCGTCGAGGCCTACTTGGGAGGCATACGCACTAATTACGTTCAAGACCATATCACCAACGACAAGCTTGACTAAGATAATCCTATCTCCTTGCCTTCTCACTCTCACCACACAATTCTTGGGGCTCTTATTAAACAAAACTCCTACTCCATTTCTATTCGCGACTGTCCCTGTGTACCAAAGCTTGAAACCTGTATTGTCCACCTCCTTCGCCTTCTGACCCTTTCATTTAGTCTCTTGAACGCATAATATATTTACACGCCTCCTAATCGCGGTATCAACTAATTCTCTTAACTTATCTGTAAGCGACTCTACATTCCAACTATCTAAACGGATCCTAGTTGGTTCGACTAGCTTCCTTACCCTTCGCACCCGTCGACTCAGATGTGAAGACCCTTACTCATTTTTCACTACACCCGGGCGTCGATGTAGCGCGCCACTAAGGAAGCGACGACCCGATCCTTACTCACTTGACACCATGCCCAGATCACGACATGGCGCGTCGCCAAGGGGGTGCCGACCCGGCCCTTGCCCATTTAACACCATACCCGGGTTCCGATATGGCGCGTCGCTAAGATGGTTACGCCCCAACGATTTTCTTCCGGGTTTCATCTCCATTAGAATGGCTAGATTTAACGTTGGTTCGCCACGCCTAACACAACCCTCCTCCTTTACCAGGGCTTGGGACCTGCTATGTTGAGACAACATAGGCGGAGTTATCACTTTCCAAATGTTCATTTCAACTTTTCATTTTTCTTCGAGAGCCTTGTCTATTTGATTTATGGTAACACAGCCTTATGTTCTTTGTGCTTTGACTTCAGAAGCACCATGGGAATTACTACGACGGATTTTATCGGACTCTAGTTAGTACTTTGGCAGTGAAGCATAACTTGCTTGTTATTGGTGGGTTTCATGGGGAAATAATATGCAAGGTGATATTTTTCATCCTCAATGTCTTTTCCTATTTTTGCCTTCTAGAAGATTTTGCAATCAGGGTTTGATGCTTATTTGTTTGCCTGGGGAATGAAGTTTCTGGATCGTCAAGGAGTAAGCTACTGCTGCAAGTCAACACATGATGACAATGGTATTACTAATTCTTTGGAGATATTTGAGAAACCTAGGTACTTTATTTTTCGCAGGCAATCAAATCGATTATTTTGCTTATGAGGAATTGAAATGCATGAATCTCAATATAACGATGCTTCTTGTCCATTTCTTTGCAGTGGTTCTCTGCACTTCCTGGCATCAAACAATGATTGTGGACTTAGAGACTTTGACATGGAAAGATTTCAAATATGCAATAACTTCCGTTTTGCTTGGCCCGTGAATGTAAGTCTGCGGTACATTCTTTAACTGTCTATTTTTAATGCTGGATATGTTGCATAGCTTGTTGAATTTTCCATTTTTCTATTTAATTCTAGCTGCTGAAGTCAATGCTCATGATTTGTCAAAAGTGTCTTAAATGAGGACAGAAACACAGTACTGAATCCTGTTTTGGCCCCTGATTAATTTTCTGCAGCATACATCATTGAGCCCTGATGGTAAACTTGCTGCTATTGTGGGGGACAATCCTGATGGACTTCTGATTGATGCTAATTCAGGAAAGGTAAGTGGTACGCAGTCTACAGTCACTGATTTTATATAATAAATTCATAATTCATATATACAAGCTTGCATCTGTTTGTTTCTAGCAGACGGTTCACGAACTCTGTGGTCATTTGGATTACTCCTTTGCATCAGCATGGAATCCAGATGGCCGAACATTTGCCACTGGAAACCAAGACAAGACATGCAGGGTCTGGGACATCCGCAATCTCTCCAAATCAGTTGCTGTATTGGGTGGCAACATTGGAGCCATCAGGTCGATTCGCTACACATCCGATGGGAAGTTCATGGCAATGACTGAACCCGCAGATTTCATCCACATCTTTGATGTCGAGAGTGGGTATAGCAGGAAGCAGGAACTGGACTTCTTTGGTGAGATCGCAGGCATATCTTTCAGTCCTGACACTGAAGCTCTCTTTGTTGGTGTGCATGATCGCGTATTCAGCTGCCTCCTCCAGTTCAATCGGCGACGGTTCTACTCATACCTTGATTCGCCACTGTGATCTAGTGCTGGTAGAGACCTGTGAGATCGACATCACAGGTTGCAGAAACAAGAAAATTGTGCATATGTTCATAGGTTTTGCTGTGAAGGAACTGGAGAATGGTGTGTTAACTTTTGCTGAACAAGCTGTAGCAAACCATCTTTCCATCTTTTCGGAGATCTGTGCTGCTGCTGCTGTAACGTTGTTGTATATTAAGTGTTGATCAGTGGTTGACTCATTTCACACAAGTTGTCCATCGAATCTAGCTAGTTTTAGCTTTAGATCCAGTTCGTCGTCTCTTACAAGAGAGTCAAAACCAGCAGATAATCTTACAGGTTCAGGTTCAGTGACAATACTAGGCACCAGCGGACTTGACATGTCACATGTGCAAGGATTTTGACCTGCTTAAAGACAACACACAAGGCACCAACGCACTCGACATAATGACATGTCGCACGTGCAATATTTTTGACCTGCTTAAAAGACACGCATATGAAGAACCAAGATGTAGCAGCATATTGGCCTTACACACTGACAGATATTATGAGTACGAGGCTAACACATGAACATTAAGTTACAAGGGAACTTTCACAGGCGTGTTTACACAAAGGATTTCCCAATATACTCTCGCATAAGGTTTTCCAGATATAGTCTCATACAAGCTCAAGTAGGTACAACCTTGGTAGACGAGGGTGAGAGCCGCATAAGATAGGTTCCCATAGCAATACACAGCAGTAAAAACTGAACAAAACAAAAGAGTGAAACCCTACTCGCCTTATATCGCAGCTGCAACACTTCTGAAATATTGGACAGCTCTTTGCACTGCAGTTGTAGCTTCTCTGCCATCTCCTCTAACACCATTGCTCTGCTTTCAGTGTGTCGGAGTTTAAGTCCAAGCAGCTTGTAATCTTCAGATAGAGACTTTTGTGTTTGGTATAGAGCCATTTGATCCTCGGCCAGAGTTGCCGAGGTATGATAGGCTCTAGTCAGGATGATGCACTGAATCTCTGATTCCATCTTCTCCTGGTAGAGTTGATCAAGTTCACATTGTGACAGCAGCAGATTGGTACTCTCTCTAGTGGTTTTCCCTGGTTGCATTTGAGCATGAATTGCTTCAAGTTCATATGCTCTTGAAGCCTTCTCCTTGATCAAGGCTGATGCTTCTTCCAACCTGGACTCAAGATGTTTTATCCTTACCATTAAGTCTTCATTAGATTCCTCGAGATGGACTGACCCACTCCATTCATCATCACTGACATCAAACTCATCACTTGGCTCTTTCCCAATTGCCATGATTTTTCCTATCTCTGCAACATGCATATGAGAAATGATTGTATTAAAGAGAGTACTATGTAGAGGATAGTAGTATTTCAATCCACTACATATATGAAAGAAATGTAAACAAGCTGCTGGTGTTAGCAAATGAAACGAAAAGGAATTTATTCTAGGGAAAAAAACATATAGGTGCAGTATGTACTGCAGCCTCTTATTCAAATCTCCCTCCAACAAATGACCACTACACAATGCACCGTTCCAGGAAACTGAGCAAACATCTTTAGTAAGCTAGGTAGCGGGTAAATCCTGATTTTTCACTCTGAAGCATAGAGAAATATGTGGCAATGTGGACTTCAGATGCTGTGGACTTCAGATTCTAACAGATGCAGCCACACAAACTACATCTTACAAATAACTTTGATTAGATTTAGACAGACAGTTCAAACATACCACAGAGTGGAGTTTGAATAGCAGGGTTTGGTTTGCGAAAGAATCATAAGGTTCTGAAACTGCATATGTCCCATCTCATGGAAATAATAAGCATAGACAATTTGACCATACCATTCTCCAGTGCTTCCTGTGCTGTGTGAAGTACCAAAATCGACTCATTGCAAGGATCAGCACCCCAATACATCCTTCCATTGCCACCGTTCCCAACACTCTCCTCACCAGCACTTGACCGGACCGATCTGCCCGCCACACTACTGCCATTCCCTCTGCAGCGACCCGTAGATCGGACCTCCTGGCTCAGCTGCTCCTCGTCACCGTGGCCACAGCAACCAGAGAAGACCTTGCGAACACCATTGAGGCCGGCGGCACCCAGCTGCTGCCGGGCCTTCACGACGGCGTTGGAGCTGCGGAGGTCAGACTCGACGCTGGACCGCGAGCACCCAGCCTCGGTGGAAATGGAAGCGGCGGCGGCGCGGGGCCGCGGCCTGTCCCGCTCCCGTGGAGAGAGCACCACCGAGGCGTGGTCGCAGCGCGGGAGCGGCACGCGCGGCGCGGGAGCGGCCGTGGAGGATCTGCTGTTCCGGTCCTCGCTGTTGCCCGCGCCGACGGAGAAGCCCAGGCCCAGGCCCAGCGGCGGTAGCGGGACGAAGCGGGACTCGACGGAGGCGGTGGAGCTCTCGGAGGCGGCGGACGCGTCGTGCTTGCCCCAGGGAGCGCCGGCGGCGGCGAGGGGTAGCCTGCGCTTGTGGAGCTGCGCGTCGCCATCGCCCCCGCCCCCGTCCCCGCCGCCAGTGCTGTCCCTCGGCCGTTCCTGGTCCCGCCGGATACGCCGCCATCGACAGAGGCCGCGGCCCTTGGTGGCGGCCGCCGCGGGGGACGGGGAGGGGAAAGTCTTGATCTTGGGAGCAGCCATCGCCCCCGGGGACTCGGCGGGGCCGTTCGCCACGGCGTTCACGCTGGGCGCCTGGGCATCGGAGGAGAGGAGTAGGCCAACCGCGACGGCGGGTAGGGGGGAGGAGCTATTGGGGGCGGCGGGGGGGTTTTGGGTTTTCTCGTGTAGTGCTCTCCTCGTGCCTTCGTGGGCTGGGAATTCTTGTGCCGCGTGGGAGTATGGGGCCGGGGGGCGCCAGCGGAACTGCAACGTCGACACGACGAGCAGAGTGGGGAAACGAGGAAATTATTATTTGATAGTTTGGCTACGGGCACTCGAGTGTTAGTCCGAAAACATTTATTTTTTTTCTCAGCTTCTTCTTCCTTAAGTTCGATGCGTCGCCGCCGTCCACTGCCCACCGCCCCGTTGTTGTATGGTAGGGTTTCATCAGAGCTCCGCCGCACGCAGTCGCGGAGCTCCGGCGCCTCCTAGCCGTCGAAACAGTAACTGTCGCCCTCCCGCCGTCCCCACCGCCTAGTCAGCTTGCCTCCCCTCCCGAGCCCCTTCTAAGCCCGTCGGAGTTGAAGAAGAAGAGGGGGAGAGGCTGGAGATAGAGAAAAATAAGTGGGAGAGGAATCAAGTGTTGAGATGGAGAGGAACACTCGAGTGTCATCTAGCATTTCTCTTTTTTTCTGCCATTTTCGATTTGCCAACAGAATTGCAAGTGCGCAGGATAGACTGACGAGATGTGTGGACAAATCTAGGCTCTTCTTCTGGACGAAGCCCATTTGTTTGGTGACACATAGAATACTGGATCGTAAATGCATTGTCGGCTATCAAACTTGGTAACGAGGGTCAAATAGGTCAACAAACTTCTAAAATATCCACTTTTCTACCCCCAAAAAAACTTCTAAATTATCCATCTAGATATAGGAACTTGGCTCTAACTGCGACACGTGTCCAAAAGGACTCAGCCTAGACCCACTTGCTGACGGCCTTCCACGGGGGCACGAGCTAGGTCTAACACCTTTTTTTATTTGGGAGATTCCCTTCTCCCCACACATGTGCTCAGTTTCATGGCGGCGATGGATGGAACCCTAACCCCCATTCCTTTACCCTTTTCTTGGCCGCGGCTCCGGGCTGTTGGTGGTGGTGACTCCAACTTTTGATCCAAGGTCATTAATGGATGGGGGCAACAATGTGTCAGGTCCAAGGCGAAGGAATGCAAGGATTGAACTTCCTCTTGTTCTCTACAGCAAGTGCAAGTGCTGGACGGTGAATGCATTGAAGGCAAAGACGAAGGAGAACTACGGCCACAACTTCTACATCTGTCCTAGTCGACTGTGATTACATTGGGAGCTCGGTTGTTTCATTTTCTTTCTCAGTTATCTCGATCCCCGTTGCAATTGGTTGTAGAGAGATTGTGGTGGTTGTCCCTTTTGCCACTAAGAAGAAGATTACGAGAAATATTTGATTGACTTCAAGTTAGTTCCTCCCTTTATATTCTAGTGTTCAACACAACAATTGGTCAGGAGAAGAAGGCTGAGGTTGAACAACCAGTTTCGCCGAGAAGTTCATTTTCTTCGGAACAAGCTAAAGAAGATAGAGTTAAAAAGCTGGAAATGCTAGTAGAAATTGCTAGGGGGATTGTAGTGTTGATGAAATGCTTGGTTGTAGTTTTTTACTAGTTTTAGTGTCTAACATGTATGCAATTGTTAAGAGTGGCTGAACCATCTGCACCTTTAAGTAAGGAGTTATATAATATATGTTGTAGGGTGAACCATCTGCCCTTTTATATGTATATATGGAAGTATGTAACGAATCTTTTGAACTTAATCAATGGAATGCATTTGTTCAAATGCAGAACTAACCATACATTTAGTCAGGGGCGGATCCAGAACGGGGCTGCGCCCCAGGCTAAGCTGCTGATTCACGTTCAAAACAGTCTGATCTTGCTTCCTATGCCTCCTTTTGTCTAATTAAGATCATAGTTTTTTAGGCTAAACACCACATATGTTAAAGGGGCTACATGGACTCGCCCCGGGCTGCAGCTCGGGCAGCCCGGGCCCTGGATCCGCTCCTACATTTAGTGCTAATAAGGCTATCCGTTATCATTCATCAACCATCAACTGTTGCATCCATAGCATTGATCTTACATCGTGGCCAAAGCATCCATAATAGGTTTTGGTGGTAGCCTATTACATCCATGACAGTTTGGGTCCATAGCAGTAAGAGACCCAAAGCATCCAACATTGTGTTTGGTGCATGTGTTCATATCATTACATGTGTTGCTGCCTATCATATATTCACAAAAGTGAGCAAAAGCTACGTGTTTTCCCTACATTCACAAAACGGAAACCCTCCTTATAGGGTGTCCGTCCGGACAGACCCCGCACTCGCCCCCGTCGCCCCCGTCTGCGTCGCC